ATGTGAAATAAAATGGCTGTCACAGGGCTGTTTTTCCTTTCTCTTGGATGCTTTATAAGACATGGGGTGGCAAGGGTGCAAGTTCTTTTATCCATTAGTTTCTGTGAACACTTTTTCAGCAAGTCGACAAGTGTCTGAAGAATTTTTGCTGTCACATTGTTAAACATTTGCTTGGAGTCTATAGAACTTAAATTCTCTTTTAAATTTTCTCTGTTCTCCTAGGTCTAGCAGTAGCATCTGCATATGCTCAAGCATTTTCAGAATAACATATGGATCTATGACCTTAGCAGGGTGATAGCACTGGCACTTAGACTGGCTACTTGAAGCTGTATAAATAAATAGAGCTATCACAAACCAGCTATAGTCCTAATGAACTGTTTGGAAATGTTGATAAAATTGTTCCATACTATTTCTTTTGCTTGTATTCCCATAGTGAATTACCAGTGGTGTAACAGAGGCAGAATTTGGCCAGGAAAGCCCATGATGTGGTTTGGGCACCACTATTTTTTTTGCAAGTAGCACGAACAGGTTCTTACAACAACCTTCATCTGGATTAGGCTGTGAGGTGCATTTGCAATGAGCTAGAAGCAAATGCAACAGAGGATCTGAATTCTAAAATGGCTGGGTGTATGACCCCGAGAAGAAAGGCACATCTTATCTGTCAGCCGTCTGTGCCAGCGCCAAACAGCCCAAGAAGTCTCACCAAAGCTCTGCTCTGCTCATGCATTCATGCACACATGCATTCATTATGATTGACCTGCCCTAGGAAGGTCCATTAAGTGGAACTCATTTCAAGCACAGATGGTCCTGAATAGCTTAATGTCTGTCTGGTGGCCAGAGTAAGTGAATTCTTGATGGCCTTAGACTTCTGATCACATACATGCAGCCAAGGAGGAAATGAAAACATGTTTATCATTTTGATAAACAACCTCTCTCATTGCTGCAGGACGCTCCATGTAACTCAGCAGAGTCAAATACTATTAAATTGTCATCACTGTCAAAGAGAGAACATATAAGTTTTGCTACCTGAGTCATAGTTAATGACTTCCACAATGTATAACACAAATCAGTAGTGCTGTTTGCCTTTTTTATGTTTGTTTACTGATAAGTTCAGGCTTGGCTGGAATGCAGAGGCAAGTTATAATTTTGAAGTGCAAAATATGCTTTTATTATTACCTCCTAGCTAGAGGTATAAAAAACAGAGATGACTAGAAGATGGCTTTTTGGCTTCTGCCAGGCATGCACTCAGACCTTATAGGTGATTAGATATTTTAAATCACAACCTCCCACAACAGACTCATGTTTATGATAAAATATTTCACTCTGTGGTGTGTAAACTCAAGGTGGCTTTATAAGAGAGACAAAAATGAGCATTATTTCAGGAGTTTAGTGTCCTCCAATTAGAACTAAAGCATTTGCAGGAGTAACAAACAGCTGTCCCTGTTTTACAGGAAGAATGATCTATTATTTCTACAGTTTTCTATTTTAAATCTGTGCAGATCAAGGATTTCTGGAAGGCTAGGAAATATGAGCAGAGTTGCAATGACACAGATGCCATCTTCAACAGTCCAGGACCCTCCTGGCAGGCAGTTCTGTCCCTCTTGCTTTGGTCACATTTCCTTTGTGCAAAGCTGAGGATCTCCTGTCTACTGAGTGCTCAGAAAGGATCAGCTGTTCTCACTATCAAGTCCTGATAATGTTTGGTGTGAAGAAGATATAAGTCAAGACAGGACATTTTCATTAATCTCTGAACATTCTTGAAGGAAGATCAATGCTCTTCCTGATCTGCAAGTTGCAATTCCATTCCTAATCTGATTTTCTTGAGTCAGAAGGGAATTATTAAAAGGGGAAAAAATGCCAGGTGGATAAAACAGCCACTTCATGAAATGTAACTGTCAACATTACATTCAGAAGACACTTACTTCGAGGATTTTTAGGCTCCTTTCCTCTCCTTTTAAATTCAATGGCAAATCCCCTATTGACTTCAATGAGTTGGATGAGGCTATTATTGTGGAATCAAAGCCAGAAGCTACTGTAGCTCAAGAGACCATAAACTTCCAAAAACAGAGACATTTGTGGGGTTTATGACAAGGATTCAAACTTTTGCTGCACTCACAGTCTATCAGGTCAATAATTCACTTTTTTTTCAGGACTCCCAGCCATGTAATATCTCGCCAGGTCTTCCCATAATCCAGATGAACCATTGAGAAAAAAAAAAATTACTCAGGAAAGCCGTCAGATATTGAATGAGAGCATTTCTTGGTGCTCTCCAGCCCCCTGCCCCAAAAGAAGAAAGCTGGAAATAAAAAATAAAAATCACAGAATACAAAGGTATTTCTCCTATCTGTCTGAACACAATGAGTGGTTTTCAGTGGAAACTGAGGATGGATTCTTGTTCCTCTCCCCACTCAATTAATTTCCTCGTTTATGCAGCTGAAGTAGATTTAAATAGAACCTCCCACCCTCAGTATATTTCTGGCATATATGTTTCTGTGAATGATGTAGTAAAGAGCATGCTCTTTCAATGAGGTTTTTTTTCCTATTCTCACTGTGTCCATTTATATTTGTCTCTATTCCCATTTTGTATTCATCTTTGTAAAAGTCTCCTGTGTACATGCATGGCTGGTAAAATTCATACCAGCAGAATACATTGCATGTAATGCTACTCAGTGAGAATCCATAGGCTAAACATCCTCTAATGGAAATATCTGAGCCCACTTAGCAGATTTTTCAGGAAAACAGGCTGTATAACATGAAGAATTTTCTCCATGTGAGGTGGATTTTTTCTTCTCTGTCAGCACTGGAAGGGGTCTTTGTATTGTTGTAATTATTAATATTTGCATATTTTTATAGACTATATAGATAAAACTTCCAGTTAATGTATTTAACTGTCTAGCAGTTTTTCATTGCTTTTATAGCTTCATTATGTTTTTCCCCTCCTAAACAACTCCACACTTTGAGCTAAATTCTTTACTGCTCCAGCAACTTGAGCTTCCACATAACAATTAAAGGTGTTATAAAGCTCTTCCACCACAACCCATTATTTTGAATAAATAACCAAATAAGCAAGATGTGGTCATGTGGTTCTTAGTACTCATACAGCAAATTTATAGAGAAAATTAAGCATTTAGGTTATTCACAGATATTTACCACACAGTCTATGTAGTCTAAAATTAGAAATGCTTATTACTGTGTACATTATCTTTATTGTTGAAGTTCCAATCAATAAAATCACAAATCTCTCTTCTCCTAGGGCATGACCATAAGATGGATTAAACCAATGAGAATCTTTTCATTGCTTTCAATATGATTTGGATAGGGGAACAGGGAGTTTGTGTGAAGGATTACTTCATAGAAAATACAAGCATTTGGGTTTGAGTTGATTATCACAATTCCTCTTACTCCTCAGAGACACTTCACAGACCCTTTGTTAGAGGGTGGCTCTCTGAATTGTTGGGATCTCTCTTTTTTGACACCTTTTGGCTTTCAAAAAGCTTGTGTCAGCAGCCCAAATGCACGTAATAACTAAGAGGTGCAGCAGCACATCTCTCCAGATGACTTCAATATTTACTACTGAATTAATCTCATGCTTGCAAACTCCACCATGTGACACCATCATTTGAGCAACATCAGACCAGGCAGAACCCTCCCTGCCCAGTGCTTCACTAAAAATGCCACATTTGTAGAAACCACAGGTACCAGGACTCACTCCTGCTAGGGAATGACTCCCAAACCTCTGCCAAAACTCCTTGTTCACAGCCAGAGGTGGAGCAGCATCTCCACACTTATCCTCCTACCTGGCCACACAGCACACAGTGTCGAAAGCTGTCAATATTCTTTCAAAAAGAGTGAAAGCCAAAGATGTGAGTAATGTGGTTTATGCTGTAGTAAAAGCACTGTGCACTTAGCAGTTCTTAATGGCATGAAGAAATGAAGCTCTTCTAGAATATCTTGCACATCCTGCCCTTTAGTGGGCAGCACATGGGGTTTTGTACTAAGCTGAAACAAACCCTGCCAAATTTATGCCGCAATTTCAGAAAGTAGCAAAATATCTGTGGGGCACAGCCTGACACCATTAAATACTCAGTGATTACGAGCTAAATGCAGTCTGAGGAGTGGAGAAATGACCTGGGCAAGGCATTAGCCCACTGTGGTGGTGTCTCCTTGCACGGCAGAGCTGGGCTGAAGGGGAATGGCACACCTGGCACTGCATTTCTGTGCTCAGCATATGGCACAAGCACCAAGCGTTCACCAGCCCAAAGCCACCGAAGTATCTGCTGAGCTCTCCTCTGTACTCCCTGTCTAACAAAATATTGCAAATGGTCATAAAGAGCAATCAGGGAGAGGACTAATTAAACCTGGTGATCTCACACACAATGGGAATGTTTCCTGCCTTAAAACTGACAATTTAGTGAGAGGGGGAGCAAAGGGAGGTGCTGTTGGGGCACCCTGTAACCTGGAGAGACTCATTGGCATTCCCTAAGGGCTGAGTACTAGCACAGAATCAAATATTTGGAGAAAAATCTTATTTCTGTATGGATTCTCTTAGTCTCTGTCCTTTTATGAGAAAATGTTTGGGGAAGAGGCCTGTCATATTACAAGCATGAAACCTGCCAACACTAGTTGCCCATTTTCTGTAGTATTTTACCCTTGTTTCTTCAGGCCCAGATACTTACAACATTATTTTTAGGCCAAAAATTATGTGGATGTCACAGAAACTTCTACTATAAGAAAGGCAAGGGACACTTATCTACATTGTCTATTAAAAATTATAGTATAGCAGTACCTGGCTTATTTGGGAGCACACAAAAAAAATTTTATTTAGGAATAAAACTGTAATCCCACCTGTACAGAAGCTGGGCAGAGACACAGACAGGAGCATGCCAGGGTGCTTTGATTAGCCACTGCTGCTCTTCCTAATCAGAGTGTCAATATTCTCTTTTTTCTTTTTCTTTTCTTTTTCTTTTCTCCTTTTTTTTTTTTTTTTTTTTTTTTGCCAGAAGGAGGAACGTGTGAAGTTATAGCAGCACACAGATGCTGTAATAAGAATCGAATTGAGGAAAGATCACAAACAGTAAAATGCTCCTGTCTACCTGGGAAAGTGGCTGGGACTACAAGAAACAGACCTTCCTGTGTTGATGGCAAGTAGCTCCTCCTGTGTATATGTTTCTGTTTGTGTACCATCCAGTAGAAAGCTGTAAGTCTACAGATTTTGTGTAGGAATTGTGTTGTGTTCTTTATTTAACAAAATAGAAACATCTACAAAAATAAGTATATATTTAAACCTCTTTCTTGCCACTTTAGTGCACAGTTCTGTGCATGTGGGTCATGTTAAGGTTTACCTGCAAACTGTGAGAATATTGCCCAGTATGGATGCTTTGATGAGTATAAACGATTTATTATTGATAAATACCTGGACAAAATTATCCCTTGAGTCACTTCACGGGGCCCCCGCGGTGCCACATTAGTTTTGATTCATAAATATTTCAATGGACTACTGCCATTCATTTTGATTTAATTAGTCATTTGGAGAGTCAGTGGCAACATAAATAAATTAATCTTGTATTCTGGTCCTGAAACGAACATTACCATTACCATTTCCAGAAATCTGGAAAAAAAATCTTTGCCTTTTGAAATCACTGCTGCTGTTACTTGTCACAGGGATTTGGGGTTTTTTGTTTTGTTTTTTTTCTGAAGAAAAAGCACCATGTTATTTGTGTCTGGGTTTCATATCAGGTTTAGCTCCACAGGGTGTTTTCCTCTCTGGGGCTCCCCTGCCAGCCTTGCAAGGTGAAACCACACAGCTTCCCTCACGGCTGGGAAGTTCTTAGCAAAATATAAATCACATAAGAAGATGGGAAATAAGTGGTACTAATCCCATTAGTTACCCTTCCCAAAGAAGCTGCTCTGTGCTGCAGAATCCCTCAGTGCAGCAGCTTTGTGGAATGGAGTATCTTGTAAAAATCCCTCGCTGCTTTTTCTGGTGAAGGTTGTTTGTACCAACCCACAGGTGCTTCAGAGAGCCACAGGTTGGTTTTGGCACTGTAGGCTCTGTGCTGGGCTCTCCTCATTCTCTCCATGGTGGAATCCCATGGGTGAAGGTGTCTCTGCCAGTTTTGGAAGCACCCAAAGTTTCCTCTTCTGGTCTGTGTTTGGCACTCAGCTTCACCTCGAGCAAGAGTGGGGAGCTTTACAAGCAAATATTGGGAAAAATGTTCTCTTCTGGGTACCTTTCCTCAATCCCAGGCTGCCAAGGGATTAGAAAGGAACAGGGAGTGGTCCAATGTAGCTCAGGCAGGTGTTGTAGTTAGACAGGAATATTGGCAGGTGTTGTGGAATGGAGAATTTTGCAGATAAAGATCATCCTTGCAGATTTGACACCAAAAAGTTGAGAGAGTGACTGCCTTAGAGGAATCAGAACCTCGTGTTTTCTCAGCAGGTATTTCTGGCATGGGGATATCTGATTTATATATTAAAGATACAAAAGGAAATATTATTTAAAAAAGGCACTCAAATTTTTAAATTATGAAGCAGTGTTTCATAGCTTGTTACACTGGGAATGCAATTCAGCTTCTGAACTCATGATTAAAACCAGGCTATTGAATGCACCTGTGAATGATTGCTTTAGTCCACATCCTGTAATTCTGTTATTGCTTAATTACCCTGATAAAAAGAAGCTTTTCTTTTTCTGCTAAGCACTCATAAAACGGTAGGTGAAAAATACAGCTGGCTGTAACCAGAGATCAGCTGTACAAGCCTTGAAGAATTTCATGTTCTTCATCAGGCCATGAAACACAGAGGCAGCAGATAGAGCAGAGACACCATTAATTCAGCTCTCATAACTCTGTTCAGAGAAGAGAAGCTCAAAGAGTGCTGTGCTAAGAAAAAAGTCGGGTGCAGGTGTGGACTGGAGCCTAATTGCTCTGTCAGGATTACAATAAAGAGAAATGTTATTGTCTGGAATTTTGAAAGGAGTTAGGATAAAACAATGGCTAATATGAAAGTGTAAGGCATTGAAGTTGCTGGTAAGACTCGCTGTGACTTCAAAGCCAACAAATGTGAACTACAAAGGAATGTCTTCCCCTTTCAAGCTTAGTTGTTGTAGTCAGCCCATAGCTGCTTTTGTAGATGGCTGGAGAATGGTTCAAAAGCCCAATATGCTGCTGGTGAAAATTAATCCAGGGGACATTTGCTTTGGCCTTTGTTTTATCCCAGACTTTGCTTTGTGACTTTTGACATACTGACCTGGTTTAAGTCAGAACTTTTTCCAATTTGGTGGTTCTGTTCTTGTTAAGACAAACTCCCAAAACTTTCCATTGGAGAGCCATTGATGTCAGTGCTTTAACTCACACAAAGATTTGGGATTTGCCGTTTATTTTGTATATGAGAACATTTCAAAAGTTCACCTGCAACTTTCTACTTTCTTTATCTACCATATTGAAAGGATTAAGACCAGTTAATCTCACACTAGGTTTTATTTAGTGTGTAAATGTATATAATTTCAAGCCATAATGTGTCACTAAGAAATCTTGCTTGGGTCCTAATTAAATATCCAGAGGTGTTGAAGTGCAGCAATATACTCACACCCAAACAGAGACATCACCTCTGAGAGGTGACAAGGACTGGGAGACCTCTGTGAGCAGTTTGCCTGTTGGTTATTACCTGGAGCCATCTCCACCCCATGCCTATGTACTAGTGTGCATAAAACAGGCTGAACCCGAATGTTGCCCTGCCAAACTGTGACTTAGTGGTATTGGGATCAAGCTTTTGGTGTTTCCCAGTTCAATTTCATCAGGAAACAGCACATCAAGGCTGCTGCTTTGCCACTTTGATGGGGAGTTGCAGAGGAGAGATTGCATTGCCTTTCACTCCTGCCAGCGATTGCTCTGGGACGCAACTGGGCTGGGGAGAGCTGGCTTTGTTTTCTCTTTCAGAGAATACAATTATATCTAGGAGTCATCTTAACATGAAATAAGTATCGGGGGTGATGAATGGTGCTTTGGTCCCTTTTGTTGTGAGATCTGACCATCCCAGTACACAGGGCTTGGCAGGCAGTCCTCCTCCTGCACGGGCTGAAATTCAGGCTGAGGTTGTTTGTACCATGAAGGGCATGAAGTTGATGTGTATTCCCAAGTATCACTTCCTACCAAGTCCAGCAAACCTTTTCTTTGGGGTTTCATCTTAATAAAGTAGAGTGAGTTTTTCCCACTCTGCTCTACTGTGGCAGCCTCAAAAGTCACAAATGATTCCATGTGGCTCATTCAGTCCTAAAAGCTGCCTCCATCACCAGTGAATTATGCAGTAGCAGCAGTGGGAGCAAAGCAAAAGCCAACCTTGCTATGAAACACAGACACCAGTTTCTGTTTCTTTGCCTTTTCTGCTGCACATTTACTTTCATGATTCCCTTCGCTACTTCAAGGTCCTTTTTGTTTGAAGGATGGTTTGAAATGTTCCCTTTCCCTCTCTACAATTTATCTTGCCTGCCACTTGGCTACAGCATATACCACGGGCATCAGGCTGCTCAGCTCTCTGCCATGGATATTATTAATTTCTTCTTTTGCCCAGATACCTCTCCTGAGCAAGTCCCAGGTGGATTCACTTCATTGCGTGTTACAGGAGTTTGAGAGGATCCCTTTTCTGGGGAAAGCAAAGTCCAGCATTTCCAGTGGGTTCATGAAGGCCCTCAGGTGCCTCAGCAGAAATTGCTGTCACTGGTGCAGCAATTTCTCCTGTGGGGTGAGGTTTTATTCCTTTGTCATATCATTACTATAAATATATATATATATATATATATATATATATATATTTATAATTTTAATACTGTCACTTTTATGCTGGGAATATTGTGTTTTGACCCATATCCTTTAAAGTGGTATTGAACCATGCTGGAGAGTCAGTAGTGGTTATGTCTGTGTGTTCTTCAAGGCTTGTGAATAATATATAATTTGTTCATCTATACTGGAGTTTACTATGTTACATTCAATGCTCTCAGACACACATTTTTGTTTTAATGTTTCATTTTCCTGTTCCCTTCCCTTCAATCTTCTTCCAGGCTATTTTAAACTCTTTCACAGGCAACCTCATATTTCTTGCATAATTATCTGTGAAATTTGTTGGACCACAGAATATGGAATAACAGAAAAGCACCTGCACTGACTTTTGAAATCAGCCACAAAGGGACTTTCGTGCAGGTTGTGCGTATTGCCAGTGCTTATAGGAAATGAGGTGGGTTTAACACTGGTGAAAACCAATAAAGAAAAAGGAAGGTGCTACTAAAATTCTTAGCAGTATCTCTCCCTCTAAACTGTACCTGTAAGAAAGGCCTCTGCAGACACGTGAGGTGATCCCATTCCATGTTTTATGCAGCACAGGATTAGAAGCATTAACTCTCAGGCAGCAGTGGTGGTTTAGTCTCCGTGGTTTGCTCTTGTCCTGTTTTATACCAGTCATGCATCATGGGAAAGGGAAATCATTCACTGATACAGAAAAATCAAATCAAGCCAATATTTTTGTTTTTCACAGATTGATTTCGGATCACCTGAAGTTCCAGATCATTCCAAAACGTATGATATATTAGCACACATGTAAATACTTCAGATTTCTATTAGTTTGAGGATCACTAGCCACCATGTGGTCCTGTGAATTTACATCACACTTCTTCAGGGCAGCACTACCAAACCAAACATGAGTCTCACTGACCAGTGGGAACACTTTTAATGCCTCTCTGGGCCAGCAGCTCACACCTCTCCAGTCATGCTACTGGGTGATGGGTGCTGCTCATCCTTATTTTGCCATCTGCAGTAGCTGGAGCAGAGGGAGGACATTCACAGCTCATGTTCCATTTGCTGCTCTTTTCCCTGCTTGCTCTCACCCAGGACCCACAAACCACAAGGTCCCATCAGGTCTGTCACTCCTCAGGCAGACAGTAAGTGCAGCCACACTGTTGACATCAGTTCATTTATTTTTATTTTTAAATTATGGTTAAGATACTGATTGTGGAGCAAGCATCCATAATTCAGGAGTGTTCCTTCAGGACAGAGGTGCAGCTCAGCCCCTCTGGTGCTGGTCCTCAGCATCCTCCCACAGCACTGGTGCCACCCCAGCTTGCAGCAGCTGAGGGGTGGGCATGGGATGCACAGAC